TATATGAACCACCTTATGTGATACAACACGAATTTCCTGTGTGCATAAAACATTTTAAGGTGTAGCCAGGTAGGTTAGCACACGCTACTTGAGAGCAGCCACCTAGTGCAACCCCCAGTATATTATTATTTATTATTTATAGGCATTGTTGTATTCTTTTCCTCCCGTGCTGTTCACCCAGACGATACTACAAGTAGGTTGAATTGATATTTAAAATGTACTGAACACTAATAGTTTCACTTAAATTCTTATTTGTAGTGTTGGTTATAGTAACGTAATGCAAATTACAAATCACTGTAAACAATTGTAACGAAATTACTTTGCATAACTACTGTAGTAATTTCATTATATTTTAATTAAATGCAATTGTAAAGAAATTCCTTTTTAAAAGTAATTTCTATGGACTAACGTGTTATTATAATAAGTAGAGTTATGAATGTAGAATGTATGACAAAAAATAGGGGCTAGGATGATATTTGAGAAAAAATAAAAATCAATACAATTATTTATTTACGATTCCGAAAGTTTTTATAATAAATAATAATCAACAATATTATTAAAGTTCCCAGAAATTAATAATTATTCATTTTGTTCATGTATAACATTAAGTCATTACTTATTTTTCGAATTACTTATTTTAAATAATTTTTTAAAAAAGTAACGTTATTTGTATTTTGCAACTGCCTACTTTTTGAATGTAAAATTAAAGTATAACGTAATAAAAATAATGTCGGGTAACGTGAATGTAATTTAAATAAAAATATTTAACGTAATTTTATTACTTTTTAAAAGTAATTTATCGACACTCCGTATTTGTTAGCATAAATTACCGTCTATGGTGTTTTATTACTAATTTATAAATACAAAAGTAGTATCTATGTAAATAGGTACTCGAGACTCAACTACCCTACTAATTTAGACCAATATTATGATAATCAATAGTTAGGTACATTAATATTTTATTTTTATTATAATATAATATAATGTTGTTGTCGGTCAAAATACTTACTATACGGCATAAGACGAATTGTAGTTTTCACTCGTGTTATTTTGTATATATAATATATTATACCTAGTATTCATTGGTCGAAATTGTTTTAATTGTAAAATCAACACCCTCTAAAATAAGGGCATTTCTTATCGGTATAGGGGTTTGTGCTTTTTCCTCATTTATACGTATGAACGTTCTAGCCTTCTAGGTGGGGAAAAAGGCATTTAGTATACTAATTAGTTGTTTAGTTTTCTATAATAAGCTACAAGCATACGGACATTGACTTATGATGTACATTTAAATAAAAAAAACAAAAATTAACTAGTATTTTCTTTTATTATATGAATGGTTGGGTTACTGATTTTTACATTCCGTATTACTGTACTTACATCAGGAAAACATTTTAAATTTTATTTTACATGGCAGATAGCCCCTACTGCTATATTAATATTTTCGCATTTTGCCTACAATGACAACAAAACTGATTATTAGTGCTTGTCTACTCGACAATACCTTCCAAAATATATATCTATATTTTCTCTACAGGCAGAGTTGTTGGTAGCCGGTAGGCAGTGACGTAGACAAGGGGGGCATGTGGTGGTCAGACCCCCCTCCCCATTGGCTTTTTATTACCTTAGTAAAAAGTTTTGAGAGAGTGGGGGATTTTCCAATTTTCCCCTCCCATTTAGCTATGTTGGTTTTTATTTTTTTGATCTCCCCCCTTCAGAAATCATGTCTACGCCACTCATGGGTAGGCACATAACCAAAAAAAAAGTGATTGCGTGTTAATAATATATAGATTTGATACAGTGGAACAGCACCGTGTGTTTTGCGATAATATGTGGCCACTATACTTTGACGTTGGTATATATTTTCATACATTATATGTTATTTGAAAATATATAATTATTTCGATAATAATTAATAATTTGTTACGGAATTTTCTCGAAGAACCAAGGAAGTAAATATTACCAAAACTTAATATTTACTTATCTTGTTGTGCAGTTTGATAACTATAAATAATTCTAATTGAAATAAACGTGAATAACATTTGACAGGAATCGAGTTGGTCGATCGATAAAATGACGTCAAAGCACGTACTACTTGTGCAAGTATATACTCAACTATATATTAATATAATACCTAATTCTGGTACACATTGTAGAGAACCAATTCGGTGGGGGGATAGAGGTTAATCATAATTAATTTAAATAAAAAATTGAAAGTTATGATATAAAAATAAAAACTAATTCTATACAAAATTTAAGTAGGGGGTGTTACAACCTCACCGTAGATAAATGTGCCTAACCTAGTGGAAACAATAATAACATACATTTTATATACTATTACTATATAAGCAAGTTTGGAAAGCTCACTCTGCGAGCATGCTAATTTTCCGGTATCCAAACGTATTGTAATACAACAGCATAAATTATAATTTTATATACAATTTATGTAGGCAATGCAGCTAACTACGGACAATAAATAAATATCGCAATATCAAAAATCGTAACTACCTATGAACTGGTAACTAACGGATGGTCTGACGAACACAACGGGGATATAAGGTGTTCTAAAGATAAAACTATCAAAAATATGTTTAGAAGAAACCTAAAAACTATATTAACGGTATTCAACAGTAGGTATACAGTAACATGGTTTTTTGTTATTATTGTTATTCTATTTTATTATTACCTAAATATATTTTAATTATTATTAAATACTAAGACTGTAGTTGTAAAAGCTTTAAAATCACAAAAAAAAACCAATTGTACCTGTTTTGATTAGTAGGATTTTTGATATCGAATTTCGATTTACAAAAAAATATAAGTGCATGGCTGTTAAAATTTGATGGTGTTTTATGAAGAATTGTAGAGCACATTGAGTCCTGCGTAAGCAGACCTCATCGTAACTGTAAATGTGAACAGCGAAGCTGTGTACGTGGTGATACCCATTGCAGTTAATTGTAACGGTTTTTGTGTTCTCATAATTATCAAAAGACCAGCCCGAGACAACATTGAATCCTTGCATTTCACTAATTTGAAATAGACGCAATCTCCGATTTTTTGGTTCTGTAATGTTATGAAAAATAAATAAGTAAATAAGTTAGGTATAATGTGTGATATACGATTAAAACCACTTGATGTCTAATAAAAAAAAAAGGTTAACAATTCCTTAAAAAATATTTTTTATAGTCTTAACATAGATATGTTTTTGGGTTGGATACAACCTTTTTTTTCTCATCAATTTTTTTAACTGATTTTACGTAACACTTTATATATATCGCCAATTGAAACGCAAATAAACAATAAAAAGAAACATAAAAAATATATATATAATACCTTTTTAAATATTTGTCCACTATACTATGCCTACCCAGAAACATCTATGATTCATCAACTTTCCTTGGAGAGGAAAAATACCCATGCTACTTTTTTCGTTTTTGAGTTTCAACAAAAAAATAAAATTTCCGTTTTCCCATAATTTTTTTGTCAACATGTAAATTTACTTTTATTGAAGGGTTGAGTGGATAAATCTAATTTTTCGACAAGTGTATCTCATTGGATTATTTATAATATTTCTATGTAGGTATAAATATTGTATAAATAGTATTTATTTATAATCACCATTGTCGAAAATTGTTCGCCAATCAAGCAATAGAAGAAGAATTGAGACACCACTATTATGAGAAGAGACATCATTTTTATATGAAACGCTGAAAACCCATGGGCCATTAATACGCTGCTAGCACATAAACATGTCATCACCATGATATATAGAATGTCGACAATGAATAATAAATTAAAATACGATTTGAAATGATTGAAGTACCTAAATGAAAAAAAGATATTTACAATATTAAGTATAAGCTTTTCAATTTATCAAAATTTATGTTTAATTAATATTTACAAAATACAAATACAATATGTCAATGTTTATTATAGAATTCCACAATCCTTAAAATTATTATAGGTTTTATAAGACTCATGCTTCTCATTATAATATAGTTTCCAACATTTTTTCATTATTAATATAAAGACGGGGTTGTTTATTTCTATTTCTTTTTTTTTAAAGACTATGCGGGCTTAAGCTTTTGTTGACAAGAGTACAAAGTACTTATGTACAGATGTAGGTAGATAACATATTTATAATAAGAAAGTTTTACAGTAAGTTAACATAATTACAAACTTGGAAAGTTTTAAAGTTTTATTGAAAAGGATATGTAATCTCTTGATTCGTGTCACATGTAATTAAGACCTAAATATCGATCGTACCTTCATATTAGTTTTATTATTTATTCTTCGTAAAAGTGATGTTGTTTTTCCATGACATTTGAAAAAAGTGTCTGCCCAGCCCGCAGTTGTACCCTGCTACCCTGTGCGCACGACATTATTTATAACAGTAAACTACCTGTCTACCTACATATATAATAACTAATAAAGAATATATCGGTTGAGCACAAATAATGAAGACGACAACGACTACCGCGTTCATTGGTATGCGTAGTAGGTACAGCTGTAAAGGTAAATGCAGCTCAGGTGCAACGTCTTCCGCCGACGAATATTAAAAACCACAATTAATAAAAACCACATTCTAAAAGCTACACGCGCGCTTGCATGCAAGTCGCTGATGGATTATTTAAATTTTTTCTCAGCTGCTGTAGCTGATTTACGCGGGTATAAAATACCACGCTGCTCGTCCAACGATAATAATTTAAGGAGAAAAAAATCTTCTTCCGCGTTATTATTCACTCGACTGCCGTTGAAATTATATTTCCGTCCGACAACGATTGCAGTTGTACCGTGAATATCGTTTTTTGATTAATGCGAAACAACACACACGAAATATATACACATATCATACATAGTAAACAGTATGTCTAATGTCTATACAGCGTGATTCTATCCGTCTGATATTATTTCAGAGCTTTTATATTTTGGCCAACTGTAAAGAAGTGAATTATGTGAGTTGGGTATTTCTACGATCAAGAAAACCACGGAGTTTCTTATTCTGCATTGGACGACTTCTATTATTTTTTGTGTATATTATATGAACATTTCAAATTTTTCATAAGGCTCAAAGTTTTCGATTACGTAAATTAACTTTTTTTTTTTATTTAATTCTAGACCATTGTTTTTAATTATACATCCTAGCTGGTATAAGGTTTATTTTCCAAAACTTTTCATGGCTGAATCATAATTTTCGGTTCATTAATTTTTATTAACCACGCGATCGTTTACAGTTATTAAATTAATTAACGGTTATGACTTAAACTAAAATATATAACTGGACTAAATTTTATTTGCTGATGATTTAATATTATTTACGATTCCTAAAACTTAAATCAGAAACCAACAATGTTTTTTTAAATGTTATAATTGATGTATGGACATTCAAATAGACATGGAATATTTCATTTAAATGTTAGTACTGGATTTTAAAGTATTTTTTTTTTTTTTTTTTTTTTTTTATTGAACTTAAGCCCGGCGACTAATGCCATTAACTGTTGTAAGGGCTATGGACTGTGGTAGGGGTAAGGTTGGTACGGTAGGTTGTTTTTTTTTAAGATTGTTTTTTACGGTTGTTACGGTAGCTACGGTAGGTAGAAAACACGTGTATGTGTGGCAAGGTTTTTAACTACTGAACCCGGAAGCTAGTGACCGTTACTAACTACTAGTCGCGGAATATCGCGCCACGCCAAGCCACATTAAAGTAATTAAGGAATAACAAATTAGTGAATATTTGCTTCTTTTGTTGTTTTCGATCTGATATTAATTGTATTGATTTAAGTTTTAAATTTAATAAAATATAGTAAATAATAACTACGAAAATTGATTGAAATTAAAAAAAAAAAATAACATTTATGTTACACGGCGTAATGAATAGGCAATATAGTTACATAACTACGTAGAAGATAATTTCACAACCTTCAACATTGGCTCAAGTACCTATTCGATTTATTGTTATTCACTTGTACATCGTATTATATGGGCACAATGTTTTTCGTTTTTACTCGTTTTACTAACTTATTAGTTATTGGAGTTTTTCAAATTTGTATTTACATAGTATTGTGCATTACTACATTAGTATATTACTGTTAGGTATTAATGGGAAAACCTATTTAGAGCTATGAAAGGTAAGTTGCAAGTGTCAACTAAGGAAATTACCCTGCTTTAGTTCATAATTTTCATTAAATGTATACAAATTAGTAAGTAATACAATTAATGGTTTGTAAACAATTAATTATATTAATATAAAATAAATAATTAGAATGACCATATATATATTTTGTAATTTAATTAAAATCTACCTAATGTCCTAATGTATTGTAATTTAATCAATCTGAGTATAAAATAAAATAATAATTATATAAATTATATTATTTAACAACAACCTTTTACCTACATATTATATACAAACAAATAACGTAAAATATAAATGAATAATAATCGGTCACGCCATAGCATAATATATATAATTTTTTTTTCATTAATTAACCCACGGCAACTTAGGCCATTGGGTGGTTTTTAACTGTGAGGGAGGGAACTGTAGGTTTTAAACAAGTGTGTTTTTAGTTGGGCAGAGGTGGGCACCCTAGGTATCTGCCATGCCCAGGTGGGGGATGGCGGTCTCTCTCTCTCCAGACACCGTGACTGCCCGAATAGAAGTTCCGCCCGTGGCCGAGGTTCGAACCGGCGACAGTGCACGTCGCAACCGATGCGTTAGTCCGTTACTCAATCCCCCTATTTTTTTATTATAATATATTGATTTTGCATCTATGTATTAAGAGGTAGGGACTTAGTTTTTATGATAAAACAATATTCCTATTGTTCAGGGTGACCACATTTTTAGAAATAAAATTTTAATTAAGGCAGATAAATAAAGTATATCATTTATACTACCAATAATTACCCAGTGACCCAGTCATCCGTCACTATATTATACCCACGTGATGAGTGCCTGATGGTGTTTTATGCACTTGACTAGACCGTCAAACGCGGCACGGCGACGCCGGTCAGGGTGCGCGTCCGGGCGGCCATCGCCGTCGCCGTACCACATGTCCACGTGCAGATCTTGAACAGCGTCGACGAGAGTATCCACCTGTACCTGCATCTCGGTGACGAACAGCACCATGGCGAACACCATGCCCGAGATGCTGGTTAGCACGCTCATCGAGACGACAAACTGGGCGGCGTACACAGCGGCGTACCGGGCGGTCGTCAGACGCGTCCACGGCGTCCACATGCGGAATATGAGTGCGGCCGGCGAGTCGATGTCGCCGTTGCGGGCCGCCCAGATGACGGGCGTCATGCACATCATCACGTTGGCGATCGGCAAAATGGCGCCGTAAGTGCGCACGAACCGCGAGAACAGCACGTCCGCGGTCGGCCGGCGCCCGTCATCCCAGAAGTCACGCCTCACCGCGTCCAACATCCGGTGCAGCCCGGGTCGGTTGTGCACGCCGATGGCGAACAGCGCCAACGTGGACGATGAGCCGGTGATGTACGTCAGCATTTCAACTGCCTCCTCGTAGTTGGTGGCCCGCAAGGCCAGCGACGTGGTCACCGACGTCGTGATGAACGCCCAGAATGCGCATATCATCCACGGGTAAGCCGTGGCCGCGATTCGTACAACTGCGAATATTGTTGATAAATCACGACCGGTAATATTATTGTGTTAATATGTTTCGTTACCGTTGTTGTTGTTGTCTACATTGGGGGGGGGGGGTGTGGCAAACCTTTATTCGCGCACGGTCCGAAATGTTATTGTTAAAGTTTTAAAAGTTTTTGGATTTATGAATTTTAAAAATAAATATCCGATAAAAATTTAACTTTACCAGCACACGCTTTAAAAGTTAAAAACTTCAACTGAAATTTCAAACCGAAACTAAATACGAACCAGGAACAATTCGGTTCACAAACCACTCTGTACGTTATCACTGTAATGAAATTATGTTTATGCGATAATACCTATTATGACAATATGAGTCTTGAGAACGAATTAGGTCAGAGAGGTAAGAACTCTGAAACTAATTCGGTAACAGACACTATAAAATGTTATATAGATACATTAAAGAAAAAAAATCTAAAAGTGAAATATTTTCATTTAACTTTTTACTTACTTTAAGTCACTTATCGAACTTTTATAATAGTTATGAATCAAAATAAAAATTGTGACTATGTATTTTTAATATTTTTCAACTGCCATTTCAACTGCCTAACAATAAATTATTGACCCTTAATTAAATGTACAAGCTTTTTGACCCACCAAATAAAATTTAAATGACATTTATAGAAAAAAAAAATTAAAAAAATTAGTAACTGAAAATGTCCTTAACAAGTCAAAATATTTTGAAAATGTTGTAAAGAAAATGTTAATATAAACATTCAGTGAAAATGTATTTAAGGTCATTTGTTTTTGAGTTACATCAAAAACCAAAATCAATTTTGTCCAAAACAAAGACGTTTTTCTTAATATTTTTTTGTGGTGCTTTTGAAAACTTCTGTGCATTTTTACTTTTGACTATATTTAAATTAGCATTTTTCATAAATGGTAACATTTTTGAAATATGTAGACTCTTTTTGAGCTAGTTATAAACTTGTAAATTTTTTGGAATTTTGAAATTTTTTATATTTTTCTCTATAAAATCTTTTTCACTAGGAAAAATGCTTTAGTATTTAATGCTTGGTTCCTTATAAGTTTCAATAATATAAGTTTAAAAAGGTGCTCTGCTGTACAGTAGGCTACAAGTAGGTCGCTGTATAATAGATGGTATTAAATTTGAATTCAATGATATAATATCATTGTATAAGAAAAAGTATATTTGATGATACTACGGTGAATAAAGTAATTTATATATAACCTATTTACGTGGAATCTTGTTTTAAATTTTCAATCCTTCGATATAAAAGTTCAACATTTTATAAATTTTTAACTACAAAATAATTATTCAATTTTAAATTTGATACATTTTGTCAAAATTGATCTGTAAATGCTTATACAAAAAATTGTGCCGATAGATATTTATAGAAAAAAAAACTAAAAAATTGAAAACTGAAAATGTCCGTAAACCGATTAAAATAAGTCAAAATATTTGGAAAATGTTATGGTGTATAGAAAATTCTAATATAAACATTCAGTCAAAATTTCATGTACCTAAGGTCATTTGTTTAAGAATTGCACCAAAAACCAAAATCGATTTTTTCGAAAACAGATTTTGTGTACAAATTCCCGTTTTTCCTTAATTTTTATTTTGTTTTTCCCGGCGTTGTTAAAAACAATTCGGAATAAAATAAAAAAACACACATCATTGTAACTTCAATACAATAATCGTTCCACTCAGAATCTAAAATGTTAATGATACACTGCAGGTACGATTATTTTTTATATCCATTTAATTTTTAAATGTTGACAAAATGTATTAAAATTTAGAAAATTTTCAAACTATTTTTCAGTTAAAAATTCATAAAAGTTTTTTCTTTAATAGCTAACATTGGAAATGTTGATAGAAGACACTCCACAAAAGTTCTTACCTTAAGCAAAAAAAATGTTTACAGGAAAGTAATATTCATTTTTATGAGCGTTTAAATTTAAAATTTTAACGATATTGGATTTTAATCTGTAAATTTACGAATTTTCATTTATCTATTTTTGATAATTTGTCGTAATTCTATAATGGATTATCCTAGATATTTGAATTTTTCACAAAATGTTAAAATTACCATTTCTATACATGGTAAGATTTTCAAAAATGTTTGACACTTTTTGAACGGTTTATAGGCATGAGGCATTTTTCAAAATGTTTCAAATTATTTTTCAGTTAGAAATTCATAAACGATTTTCTTTTAATAGATAAGATTAAAAATGTTAATAGAAGATTTCAAATGAATTTTCTACCTATAACAAAAAAAAAATTACTTAAACGGAACATTCATTTTCTATGAGGGTTTGAACTTATAACTATAGGATATCTGATATTTAGCGGTAATTTCCATTAATTGATTTTTGAGATTTTATTGTATTTACAAAACGAATAACTGTAGACTATTCAAATGTTTACCAAATATTAATTATATTATTATTTTTCAAACATGGTAAAATTTTCAAAGAGTTTTGACTCTTTATGAGACATTTATAGACCTTAAAAAATGTTTTAAATTTTGTAAATTATTTTTTAGTTAGTAATTCTTAAGAGTTTTTCTTTTCATAGCTGACCTAAGAAATGTTCATAGAAGGTTCCCAACAAATTTTACTACCTCTATCAAAAAGAAAAAGTTCATCGGAAAATTACTATATTTATAGCCATAACAAATTTTCGGTTTTTATTAATTTTTTTTTAACAATTAAATTTGATTATGTATACAAGTATGCATGGCTGACGCAACGTCCCCTTTCATAATCGTCTTTCTTATAGAATAATTTATCATTGAATTCAAATATAACACATTCACTACAACGACATGCTTGACAACTAATGTCAGTAGAGTGGTACCCACTTTTCCACCTTTTTATAATATTAAAAAAGAAAATTTTACAGGACATTTGTTTAGGTCAATTTTACATTTTTGAAAACATTTTTAAAAATAGATAGGTTTTTGGACTACTAAAATTCTTTGTTTGCTTATACATAGAATTACAGAAATGTAAATCAACAATAAAAACAAAAACAAAAAAATGTCATCAAATTCCTAACAAAATGTAGCATATGCCAATAGATATTTTTCCATTACACTACCCAAAAAACTTAGCTGTTCCTCAAATATTCTTAGTCCTTACAGAGGAAAAATATCTAGTGGCATGCTACTTATAATATATACAAACGATATTTATTTTTTTCTAAAAGGAATATTTTGTGTTTTTTTGTGAGAAATTATACCATTTATACCCATAGAATAATTATGTTGTATATACGACTATACTTAGACACGTTTTTGTATCGAACAAAAGACGAAATTAATTAACTAAACCTGCATCTTCGTCCTCTCCCTGCAGCTTGCAATTTAAAACAACACGCACGTACTAGTTCTAACACTCACTCCGTGTTTATTATTCGACTAAAATCAACAGTCACCTGTTCGGTTGGTTTCCGTTGCCGCAATATACTATTGTTTTTCTTTCGTCGATCTTCAAAACGAAATAATAAAAAATTACCTCTATTGCCATGGCCCGGGTACACGTTTATTCCGTTCAAAAGCAATAACGTCAGCCAGTAAACGGACATTTTTCGTGCCGTAATATTCTCCGACGTTTTCATGATGAGTAATTCGTTCATAAAACTCACTGAGGTTTTAAAATGTCTGATCGCTCCGAAAATGATAATCGTCGTCACTGTCAATCGGTTTTTTATAATTTGGTTTTTGTATTTTTAATAGTCCGCTCGCACTAAAAGACGAATGAATAATTAAGTGTATAAGTTTGCAGATAATTACAGCCGTGGGTATTCCGAAAAACTTTTAATTTGATTGTAGCTTGCACCGTGGCATGCCCACCCACTGAAATCAGTCCGTTGTAACATAGTATTATAATTTATTATAAATTGATTACGATTAGCTACTTATTCAGCTCGATATAAGTCCCACTCGAAATATATATTCAATTTCATATGTATTATAATATTATATTACATAGGTATATACAAGGAGGTTCTTTTGAGTTGGTACACTTATCATGTCGAAAAGTATAGAATCTTTTCCAAATGTTTACTTTGCATAATTTGATGTCATTGAAAAAAAATATATAATATATATAATATAAAAGTACTCAAAAATCATAAAAACATAAAACATTTTTTTTTTAATACATTCGCTAAATACACATATTTTAGTTTCAATAAAATGTGAGATTATTATGATACAACATGTACCATCATCTACCTAGTGTCCTAGTAGGTATGTGTAATGTCTATAATATAGGACAAATTCATTATTCATTAACAATTCAACACTTGTTTAATTTCGTCCCTCTAATATCCTAACCTTTAATTGGACCGCAAACGCATTATCGAAATGTTTCTATAACCATCTCTACAGACCAATATTATTAAAACGGTGTGTAAGCACGCCACAATAACACGTGGTATTTACCGATTTACAGAATAAATTGTGTGAGATTTAACTACCCAATTTAATAGGTAACAATAAACCAATATAATATTGTGTCAATACTGCAACAATACATCATTTATTAATTACTACGAAACCTCTGCAAGCGGCGTGAATTCACCACAATTTAATGGATTTCTATTTAAAACTATAGCGTCTGTCAGTCAAGAATTGATGTGCTTAATATAATATAGGTACAATATTATTGTTCCATATTACTTAGTTATTCTGAGTGAAGTAATACTGAATGTCGTATTTTGAAAAATTAGTATTTGCACTAACTTAAAACTTTCATTATTGTGTATATTATTATTTAGTATAAGTAAATATGACAATTTTCCAAATACTTAGATTAATTTTAAGATATTTATACCATGATCATATTAACATCGTACAACGGTAGGTATTGACTTATGAGTTAAATACATCTAGTAACTAGTAAGAGTTAATATTATATCATTTACTATATTACATTATAATATATAACATAATATAATATAATATAATATATAATATGTGAAATGGTTTTGCCAAAAACTAGTTCAACCTACCATATTACTAATACCTAGCTATACATATAAATATATAATAAAACATCCTTAGAAACAGACTGACTCGGTATGGTTTTTCACTGTAGACAATGATTTATTATTAAATTTAAATTGAACATGACAGTACCTACCTAACTTACTCAATGACAAGATGCACTCGTCGCCTAAAACTATATGCAGCAGAAACTACTTACTTGTTTTTTTATTTCAAATTGTAACCTCTCTCATACCTAATAAAATGATAGATTTCGATTCTTAAAAAAATTACCTTAACACAACAGTAGAATAAAGTATTATACATATACATATCTACATATCACCTATATACCTCAGTACCTCACATGAATGTATACACTGGGTATACAGAGTAATACAGGTTTTCCAAATTTGAAAGTTAAATAAATTAGATTTTCTCAAATTGTTTTTCTATAAACTAAGTTCAACTGTAAACTTAACGTGGCTTGGGATCGTTGAATTTTCATTTGGCAGAGTCTTTAGTTTTAGAAGTTCGGCACCACTGCTGCAGTCGGTAGGCTATAGCCGGTAGGCGTCATGCAAAATTGCAACGCACAACTGCCCTCAATAGCCAACGAGGTGCATCTCTTTATGCCTTATTCTACTTTGATAATGACATTGAACGTATTGTACCTTTTGTCTTTTTTTTTTTGTGTTGAAAATAATAAAATTACAATTTTTAATTTATAAACAATATAGTTTATAAGTATAAGTGTATTATAACTAACAACAAAATGTGGTTACGTTATAGAATGGAGCGTCCAGTGAATTTTTCATATTATACTATATTGGGATGTGAGTATAGGTATAGGTTCGGATGTTGAGGTCGTGCAGGGCGTAAGGTGTGATTGCTATCACACCGGGAAGCGTTAGCTATATTAGACCAAGGTTTGTGGATCGGAATAATAGTATATAAGATGGACCCATACAAAGTCAATTATCATTGGTCCCATTGAAGGGTGAAAAAACAGTTTATTAATTATGATTAATTTTGTTTTCTAGAGGGATTTTGGAATCAAGAATTTGCCTATTAGATTCCAGTTTCCAGTGTTTAATGATATTCTTCTAGATTTAATAGATTTATTCTGAGTTTTCTAGGTTAATCTCAAACGTTGTATACCAATTACCAGCTATACACAATGGCCTCGAAACTTTAACCGATGCCTATTATTTCATTGCCCTAAACAAATTATAATAATATATTATAAATAAATATATTTTGGCTTTTTGCAAGCCGTTAAAAAAATGTTTTTTGTTTTCGCATCATGTAACTGTCAAACTATAATATAGTTATATAAGTATATAAACATAACAATATAATATGAAATCGTTCTTACCTATCGTTTCCACTGAAAATGCGTTTCAGGTGATACGAGTGCGATCGATGTGGGAAGGTTTGTGATGGTCAACTGTCGTGAGAACGCCTAACATATAATATTATTATACAGAACAGTTTTGTAGCCAGGAAATGCTCCCCCCACTGCTTAATTTTTTTTCTCTAGATTTTTTACAACCGGCAACCAGAATACTTAAATCTGTTACTTTATGACACCATTGTTCATAAAAAAAATTCGGGGAGGCTCTTGCCCACCAGTCTATGACACCGATACAGAATAATGAAATGAAGGTGACATTGCGGTGTGGGTACAGACTACCGATCGATGGTGAATGATTGAAAAACAAGCGTATTGCAATAATCGGTGTAATATAATATTATGTTGTTCAGACTTTGTTTCGTTCGTTTACATACTTTTTATCCAGAATGTTTATTCACTTTTTTAAAAAAAAAAAAAGTTTACTATTATAAAATAGTATAAAACCAATATTTACGGCTGATGCATGCAAGATTTAAAATTGATTTCTGCATATTATTAATAAATATTAAAATAATATATAATATAGGTACAAAATTATTCTATTCAATAACAACTCACCGATAAAAATTATTCCGTTGAAACTTGTATAGTACTTTGGTCTTCGATTATCATTTAGGTAAATCTAAAGTAGAGGAAACTGATACAGAGGTAAATACCTAATTATTGGACAACCTACTACAAGAGGCTGCGACTATAATTGGACAGGCAACTTTGGGGACCATACTTTGATTTAGTATTCTGTTTATTATTATTGGTATAGACTATAAAGGTATATTGTTGTAGAAACTTTGAAATACTATACATGTGTGAAATATATAATTCTGGTTTAGTAATAACCTCTCCCACTAAAACCATTGTACCGAACATATTTAATTTATTTCGTTCATATGTAATATTAGACGTGTGTGTTGTGCAAATTATGACGTGTGATTTAAAATATTATAATTAGACTATGATTATAATACATTTCTGTACAAGATGAATTTTACTAAAATTAGTTAATTCTGTTGATATATTTATTTATTTTTACAAAATGAATAGGTATCATTTTTTTTTTTTATTCTCAGTGGAGCGAATTCATATGAGGTGTTATTATTATTTTTTGACTATATCACGTTTTATTGTAGAAACAAGTTTTGATCTTAAACTTCGAGGGTCATTTCTGGTAGAGAATTGGATCAAGTGGAGTGTGATCATAATTTTCGTATGTAGTGTATCAACACTACACAAATTAAACAATTTACAAAACAACCTGTTATCATCAGTCGTTTGTAACAGTGTGTAACACAAGTTTATGGTATATTTTCTCGATTGATACATTAACATTACACTCGCAAGTCGCAGTAGCTGTACATTTAAAAATATCAATTTCATTTCAGATTTATAATTTATAATTTACAAAATGATTTTCTATTAACAGTACGAGTACCTACTTATAATTTAATTGTCCCTTTGTTCTTCTATTAAATCTTTGAAAATCACTGAACCAGCAGCTGAATGCGTTTATTCATGGAGCATTTTAACACGCATTGTGTATACATACGCCTTATAATATATTATTATGATTAATTACCTATAGTAGGTTTAGATATTTAAATTATGATTCTTGTAAAATATAATATATATTTCTACTTGTTTACGCATCGCCCACTTTAAATACTTTAGAGGAGTTTCACGGAACGCTTTATAATATACAATTAGAACAAAGTTTGAGAGCTAAACAGTAAAAATGTGACTTCATTAAACGCTACTCTATATTATATTTTCCATTCGTTTTGAATTTAATAAATCTTTGTGCGACAGTTCGTAAAATAAAACGAGCTCACAGTATGGCATTGTACAATATTATGCAAGTGTGACATCATCAAATACGCACATGAATAGGTACTACGTTGTTTGAAAATTGAAGAATATATATTATATAGCGACAAAAAACAATAAACTTAAGTTATAATGTCATAAACGACTCGAACAAATTAGCGATGTATTATGCAGTAATTATAAATTTAATAACGTCGGTATAGGTACGCGGTTATTACTATTCACTTGGATTCAACTATGACATAATATTAAGTTGTGCTAATTATGTATTTCTAATTAGTAATTGCAAAAAACAATATACCTGCTAAAATTTAACTATATTTATTATTTATACAAAATGCGTATAAACTTTTGTACAATAGTTAATATTTTACATCAGAAATAAATACGACAGCAGATTTATAATATTCAAGCCGTCAAAAATGTCAAAAGTTGTATTTAAATGAACTATACACGTTGTTATTGTGATTATGATTGAAAGTTTGAGGGAGATGCATATTGTTACGCCTTTTTATACTTACCTATCAGGAATGTATTAAACAGTAGGCATAGGTAATATATAATTATATACCGTGTACGTTAGTTCATAATCGGAAATTCACTAAAGTTAATTACCTCCATTAAAAGGGAGGGACTAACATCTTTAACATCAATATGAGCGAGGGGTTTAGATCCCACACAACTAATAAGCTGAGACACCCAACACCAAATCCACCTATACGTCAGTTTTAAAAAATAATAGAAGCAAAATGTGTTCGATTTCCTGTTGCAGGTACCTACCTATTGTTATTGGCATAATATTTTGCGGTCTGAAGATAATAGCTTTAGAGGTTAGGTTGACATTGACCTGCAGAAACTCAAGAGTCCATCGTATAGTGTATATTACATGATTTTAGGACTTTTGGTAAATTTACTGTATATAATATAATTATTTATTTATTTAACTTAACACCATAATATGGTGAAAAAAATATAAACAACTAAACATTATAATATATTATGTATAACTTTATTGAGGAACGGTAAACAGTTCAAAGAAACTCGATCTATCATAGACGTAATATACACATAATTATATATTATATATCACATCACAGTTTGTTAGTAACTCTTATAGATCTGGAATTAATTTATAACACTCGTGTTTTAAATTTGCATTGGGGAAATTGTCGTGTGTATAATTTATTGTACTACGTCGTGAATTGTGTACATAATAGGCAAAGGTATATTATATATTTTGAACTATAAAGCTGATAATAATTTTTTACAATGTTTATTATAAATAAATGAGAATGTTTTTCATATTTTGTGAAGACATCTTTATTTTAAATAGGTAGTGAATTGTGGATTAAAAACAAACATAACTAATGCATAGCAAGCTAATTATATAGATCTGAGTCCATTGTTGGATCAATGATAGGCGCAAGTAAAGATTGATGAAAACTGATAGATACTGTTGATTGAGTTTGGCATGTATATTTACTAGCGACGTTTTTTCTTTCCAAGTCCAGTCCATAAAATGCCTGGGTCGTGATTATTCGTACCACGGTATGATTCCCCATCGTCGTTTCTTACAAAATTCCTCACATTATCCGATGGTTTACGTCCTCGAAAATAATTTCCAGGGTAAGATGTATCTGAAATAAACGTAAATCAAGTTACAAGATTTAAAATAATACCCAAAAACGGTCATTTAAACCACATGGTTATAAATCATAAATCATAATACATAGTTATTTAAAGTATTTAAATGTATGATGTCTATATAAAGATTATATAATATATGTTGTCTCCAAAATGCATTAATACTATGGATAAACTTATTTACTTATACAAATATAAAATTGTCTATAATGCAGTGCTCATTATTCAAATACGTAGGTAGTATAGGTATCTGCTATAATATTAAGAACCCCACACTGCATACGTTTTCGAAATGTCTGTTAAACAAAACATATAAAATGTAATGCATAACATATTGACATATTGTTATAATCAGTGCCTTTCAAAATATATTTTTTTAATTAAAAGTGCAATTAAATTTAATTATAAATATTATTAACGTCACATACATATTATATAATACGTAAGTAATCAACAAACTAATTCAATCTGTTTAATGTAAGCAGTGGTGTTTTGGAGGGTATACGCGGGTATACGACGTATACCCTATCACCAGTTTACTGATTTAGCGTATACCCTGTAAAATTACTATAGATACGCAAGTATACGCGCGTATACCCACGTATACCTTCAAAAAACTTAAGTAAAATAAAATAGTAATTGCTTCCAAAAAAATATTTTTATCTTTGTTTTCAACGATGGAAAATTATCAATTTTTTTTTAATGATAATCGACTAATAACCATCATATCAATATCAAATTCATATATTTACAATTATAATCACGGCTATGGATACAATTATTTAAAACTATCGACGTTATGGACACAGTCCACAGATACTTTTATAATATTATCTGTATAGTTATGGTTGACTTGAGAGACTGCCGATTATAAGAATGATATTGTATTTATTGTATCGACAGCGGCTTCAAAAACAAAACAGTTATTCACAGATGCCTTATCACAATCAGTTAGATTTGGTAGAAAACAGCGACATTGATAAGGATTTGCAGATTCTATAGTCAGTCAATTATTTTATATTTATGAAATTATGTAGTATATTACTATTCAGAATATATTCTTAGTAAAAAAGATTTTATTTAATTACCAATTGTCTTATAATAATAACCGTTAGAAACTTAGAAAAATGTATAAGACCATTTTTTTTTTACTGCTTACATGTCAAACAGAACGAAATTATGTAACAAAAAGTAAGTTCTAACTCAGTGCTTGGAATGAACTCGTTCAAAGGAATCCCTTCCTTTGATTTCGTTCCATTTTTAGGAACTTATCGGGAACGTAGTTCCTTTTTCATGTTTAGGAACGTACTGAAATTTCGTTCACTTTTTAGAGGAACATGAACGATTTTTTTCGTTCCTTTCTTCGTTCATTTATTTTTAAATAAAAGTAATTAAATCATTTTTAAAACTAAAAGGAAAAAAATGTATAGCTTCTATTAAAATTTAGTAACTAATATGAAGAGCTATAAAAATAAACCGGTATATGATATTATTGATAATGTTTACAAAATATAAATTCTGTATTTCTGTAGCAGAGGTTTATTTATACAGCTTATTAATTATATAAGTTAAAACTATTACTAAATGTCTAAATAACAATGTGTTATGTTTAAAATTTTAAAATTAAAACAATTATAGTATAAACATGTAAGATGTACCTATGTTTTTTTATTTTATTTTAAGTCACATTAAAAAGGAACGAGGAAAGGAACTAATTCCTATCTTCAAGGCAGGAATGGTAAAGGATTTAGTTCCTTTTTTAAAGGAACTTTCTAAGCACTGTAACTCCATCTCATCCTGATGCAATGTCTAAAATCCTTTTTCTAGGGGGGAGGGGGGCTAGATAATTAAATCGACAAATAAAGGCGCGGTGGTATACCACACGACCCACCATAAGTTAATTTTTTGTTTGTTTAGATAAATTTTTTTTTGAGCTTATGTGCTAAGCGTATACCCTAGAAAAAAATTACCAATACATCACTGAATGTAAGCCCACCAAAAACAATAAACAATATTACTAATTAATAGTTATTAGTACCTAACAAAATTAGAAATTCATAAAATAGTTTATTTCAGGTTTCATAGAGTTACAATGTTCTTACTCTAGTTAACTGTTATTACTTATTAGTTTTAAGTAATTATAATATATAGGTATTATTGTGTGATTAATAATTAATATCGTTAGATGATTTAGAAAAATACAAAGTACCTATGTATTTTTGTACTCATTTATATAATTAATAATTATATATATATGCATATTTCTAAAATTATAATAAATGTAATTAACGTTAAAAAATATACTAAATAATATATTTTTACGATTTTAATGTAGTTTTTAATATTTATGGAGTTGTTAGTTGTATAAGAAATATTATTAAAATATGAAAAATACGAGTAAGTAGGTTACAAAAGGGTCACTGCAATGGATGGTGTTAAATTTGAATTCTATGATATAATATCATTGTATGATGTATACGAAAAACGATTCTGAGCGAAGACGGTCAGTCAGCCTATGATATTATAACTTAAAATTTATAAGTATATTTGATGATATTATTATTGTGATTAAAGAAATGTATTTTACTATTAGGCATAAGTACAACAGTAAGTTAAATTAACTTTTGCAAAACTTATAAAAAAAATTAAAAAATTGGAAATGAAAAATTTCAGTAAATCACTCAAAACATTTAATGAATTTCTAACTCAATATAATTTGCACATGTTCGTGAATCTTATGTATTTTTCCAATATTTGAATTTTAAATTCTAATAAAAAAAAATCGTGACTATGATTTTTCATCAGTATTTAAAACAATATATTAAATTCTATTAAATGTTCAAGATTTTTTTACCCAACAAATAAAATTGTATTGATATTTATAGAATAAAAAACTAAAAAACTGGAAGCTGAAAATGTCCGTAAACAGCTCAAAATAAGTCTGAATATTTTGAAAATGTTATCGTGTATATAAAAAGCTAATATAAACATTCAGTGAAAATTTTCATTTTCATGTATCTACGGTTATTTTTTTTAGAGTTACACCAAAAACCAAAATCGATTTTGTTGAAATCTGTTTTTGAGTAAAAATTATGGTTTTTCATTAATTTTTGTTTTGTTTTTCCCTGCGCTTTTGAAACCTATTGAGAATTCACCAACTAAATTCACTTTCTCAACGATCAAGATACTGATGAAAAAAAATCGAAGCAGTGTTACTGCCCCAAACGACGATGACAGACACAAAAATTAAAAATTAAAAATTAAATAAATAAAAAGTAAAAAATAAATTTAACACACATCATTGTAATATTGTGTGTGTATAACGAAGCAGGAGTTATCTATTTAAACTGTGTAAAATACAGGTAAATTTGTTAAACGACATAACTAACTTTCTAATGCATCGATTAACCCCTAGTTAACTCCAAAATATCAGAATTATTGAGTAGAATGTGCTTTTGTAAAAATCATCAAAATCGTATGATTAGAAATTAAGTTATAAATGAAAAAGTGCGAACTTTTTAATGGACATTTATATTAAATTCAGATACACGGTAGCCGTCGTCATCGTCGCATCAGCGTTGCCAATATTACCATTCTTATAGATTATTGTGTAAATACTCAATATTTAATAACGATAAAAATTAGTGATATCACAACAAAAAACCCTTCGTAAACTGGGTACGTGTAAAAATGGCTAAGTAAAAAAAATATGAGATCTTTAAGCTCTATAAAGATGTGATATCATGAATAAATGCTAAGTATATTGAATTTAAGTAAACTTATTTTATTTCAATAATTTATTTATTATTTATTTATTTATTTAGAAGAGTATTTAAATATTAATAATGATAATAATAATAATAAGTTATATTTTAATAGTCCTTCGATATTTAATTATTTTATTCATCACACTTAGTTTCTTTTAAGAAATAAATCCTCTCCAAGTAAATACATTATTGAAACAAAATAAGTTTACTAAAATTCAATATACTTAGTATTTATTCAAGTAGTTTACGAAGGGTTTTTGTTGTGATACAATAGTCTATAATATATTATAATACCTAGTTAATTTGTAACTAGGTATTTATATTAAAACCACAATCGTTTCACTAACCACTGTACGCTTATACTTTATACCAATTTGGCATTTTCAACTATTTTATTATTTAATATTTTGTTCTCAAAATTATGTAATTTTTCATATAATTATTTTTATTTTATTTGCCACTTTCACTTTATAGTAATATAATTAGTTCGTACAATTAAATTTACCATTTATTATTCTAGAAAGTGTGGTTCTCGTCAAAATGTAAATAAAGAGACGACAAATTACAACTATTATATTATCGATAATGAAGATTATTATTTCATAATAAGAATTTTTGTTGAAAAAATAATAATATTTAACTTTATAATAAAGCTCTAATTATTAAAATAAATTAAAAACCATAATTAAATAATACTATCACGAGGTAGTTAAATTTGTTTTTATATTTTTAGTTAAAACCGTGTTGTTTAATTTAAGAGTCAGTTAAATACGGGTTAACAACGTTATTGTCATCAACAATGTTCCGTAGAATTGAGTCGTTCCCATTACTTTGTCATTATTCGATGATTAATAGTGAGGGGGAGAGGTGTAAAAAATGGGCGTTCCATTACAATTTGATAGTAGTGTCCCCTCTGGAAAATATGAATTAAATTGTATTTAATCACATACCTACATTCATACGCATATTAAATGTTTAAAATGTCAACTGTGTATATTAAAAATATGTATATTATAAAATATTATTCACAATAATGCACATAGCACATACCAAACGATTTTTACATCATATAAACGGTTATTCCGGTTATGCTAACTGTAGGTTGGAGCAAGAGATATTTTTAATGAAATCAGCTTACCAATAATTTACGTTAGATCTATCCTTAAGTCATGGATTTAGAGATAGACACAACTGCAGTGAGTCTGTATCCGATGCACACATGACAG